AATCCCATGGCTCATTGCTAGACGGTGATGACAAGGAATTTACTGAAAAGATTAAAAACACTCATTTCGATATAGCGTCATTGCCACCGGTTAAGCTAAATGGTAAACCTCATGGTTCAATCAAATATATCCCAAGATCTAAAACTGAGAAATTTAGAGTCGTGTTTGAAGAATTGTTGATTCTGATACAAATTGCATTAAATTCTACCAAGTTTTCCAATAAGAATGATGATAATTCAACTGCAATCTTTATAAACATAGCATTATGGTCATGGTTATTAATCTTAACCACTATAAGATTATCAAACCTAAATGATTCTTTTAAGAAATTGATCAATATAATTCCAAATTTATGGGTCAATAATTTTGTCACTTATCTATTTTTATGGTTCCCAAGTTTTATATCATTCAGAAGTGCATTAATTGGTAACACATCATCTCCAATCCATTATTATACAAATTTCATCATCATCTCCATCTTATTTCTCAATTTATTAACTTCTAAAATCGGTTATAAAACTCCATTCATCTACATCACTGATGAAAACTCAACCCCTGCTCCAGAACCAATAACAAGATTAAGTAGCTTCATCACATTTAGTTGGGTGGATCCAATGATTTGGCAATCATATCTAGAATCTTTGAAAATTGAACAAGTTTGGGACTTAAGATTAGAAGATTATTCTTATTATGTTCAAAAAAGTTTTAAACAATATAGTGATTCAAGAAAAAATTGGAAATTTTCAAATAGATTAATCTTATATTTTATTAATAACTTATTAATTATGGGATTTTGGGCAATTGTCGAGACAATTATTTTATTTGCTCCAACTTTATTATTGAAAAAAATTTTAGAATATGTTGATGATACAACAACAACTTCTAAAAATTTGGCTTGGTTCTATGTTTTCTTGATGTTTATCTTTAAATTATTAGCTTCTGTCTCTTCAGGTCAAGCTTTATTCTTGGGGAGAAGAGTTTGTATTAGAATTAAATCAATTATTATTGGTGAAATTTATGCAAAGGCTTTAAGAAGAAAATTATCAGCTGCTGATCAAAAAACTGAAGATGAGGATGATGATAAAAAGAAAGATAAAGATCCTCAATCAGATAATAAAGAAGATGGTGATGAAGAATCCAAGAAAACCTCAGCTAATCTTGGTGCAATCATTAATTTAATGGCTGTTGATGCTTTTAAAGTTAGTGAAGTTTGTGCTTATTTACATGCTTTTGTTGGTGCAATCTTTATGATTTTCGTTTCAATCTATTTATTATTCAATTTATTAGGTTGGAGTGCTTTAGTTGGTGCTTTTTCAATCATTGTATTGGCTCCTGTTAATTATACTTTGGCTCAATATTTAGGTACTTTGGAAAAGAAAATGTTGTCAGTTACTGATAGACGTATTCAAAAATTAAATGAAACTTTCCAAGCTATTAGAATTATTAAATTTTTCGCATGGGAAGATAAATTTTCAGATCAAATTTTAAAAATTAGACGTGAAGAGCTAAGTTATTTGAAAAAAAGTGCATTTATGTGGGTTGCTTCATCTTTTGTTTGGTATATCACACCAACTGTGGTTACTTGTGTTTCATTTGGTTGTTATATTTTCATTTCTCATAAAACTTTAACCACTCCAATTGCATTCACTGCTTTATCTTTGTTTAATTTATTAAGAAATCCATTAGATCAAATTAGTGATATGTTGAGTTTTGCCATTCAATCAAAAGTCTCATTAGATCGTGTGCAAAAATTCTTGGATGAAGAAGAATCAACAAAATATGAGCAATTGACTGCTGTGAAGAACAATAACAATAACAAGATTGGTTTTGCAAATGCTTCATTTAGTTGGAACTCAAAATCAGATGTCGATTTCAAGATTAAAGATTTAACAATCGATTTCAAATTGAGAAAATTAAACGTCATCATTGGTCCAACAGGTGCTGGTAAAACATCATTATTAATGGCTTTATTAGGTGAAATGGAATTAACAAAAGGTGAAATTTACTTGCCAGGTTATAATGCTAGAGAAGATTTAGAAGTTGATAAAGACGGTTATACTGAATCAGTTGCTTATTGTTCTCAAGCTGCTTGGTTATTAAATGATTCAATTAGAAACAATATTATTTTCGCTGCTCCATTCAATAGAGATCGTTATAATAAAGTTGTCGAAGCTTGTGGATTAACTCGTGATTTTGAAATCTTGAAAGCTGGTGATCAAACTGAAATTGGTGAAAAGGGTATTGCATTATCTGGTGGTCAAAAACAAAGAGTTTCATTAGCAAGAGCCTTGTATTCAAATTCAAGACATATCTTATTGGATGACTGTTTAAGTGCTGTTGATTCTCATACTGCTCTTCATATTTATGAAAATTGTATTTCTGGTCCATTAATGGCAAATAGAACTGTTTTATTAGTTTCTCATAATGTTGCTTTAACAATTAAATCTGCTGAATATGTCATTGTTATGGACAATGGTAAAGTTACTCATCAAGGTACTCCTCATGAATTATTGGAAGCTGGTGCCTTGGGTGATGATGAAATGATTAAATCAAGTGTTATGGCTTCAAGAGTTAATTCTTCATTAAATTTAAAAGATGTTCAATCAAATGATTCTTCAGTTAGTGAAAATGTTGCTAAAAAATTGAGAAATCCATCAGAATCAAAACCAACTTTAATTGATGAAGAAGCTGAAGAATTGGAAAATTTGAAAAAGGGTAAATTGATTGAAGAAGAAACTAAAAGTGAAGGTGTTGTTTCTGGTGAAGTTTATAAATGGTATTTCAATGTCTTTGGTGGGTTCCCAATTGTTATTGCATTATTATCAATTTTCGCAGTTGCTCAAGTTTCAAATATTGGTCAATCTTGGTGGGTTCGTGCATGGGCTAAAAACATGGAGAATAGTTTATCCATCATGGGTTCAGTTGTGGAATCAAATACTTATTCAAACACAATGATCAAATCTGTTACAAAACCATTAAATGTTTTCATTTTGAAATATCATGTTGTTAAAAATAGTGTTGAAGTTATGAAGACTGAAAATGAATCTATTTTCTATATCACTATTTATGCATTATTAGGTTTCACTTATGCTGCAGTTTCTTCATTCAGAGTTATCATGGTGTTTTTAGCTGGTATTAGAGCTTCTTCAAGAATTTTCAAAAAAGTTTTATTAAGAGTCCTAAGAGCAAAATTAAGATTTTTCGATTCAACACCAATTGGTAGAATTATGAATAGATTTTCAAAAGATATTGAATCTATTGATCAAGAATTGGTTCCTTTTGCTGATGGTGCATTGGCTTGTGTCATTTCTGTTATTTTCATCTTGTCATTAATTACAGTGATTACTCCAGGTTTCATCTTTTTAGCTGTTATAATTGTTGCCTTGTATTATACAATTGCATTCTTTTATTTGAATGGTTCAAGAGAATTGAAAAGATATGAATCAATTACAAGATCACCAATCCATCAACATTTTAGTGAAACTTTGGTTGGTGTTAGTACTATTCGTGCTTATGGTATGGAACGTAGATTCTTGCAAGAAAATTTGGTCAAGATTGATGATAATAATAAACCATTCTTCTATATGTGGGTCACAAATAGATGGTTAAGTATTAGAAATGATTTAGTTGGTTCATTGGTTATCTTTTTTAGTGGTGCTTTTGTCTTGTACAACATTAATAAGATTGATGCAGGGTTAGCAGGTATTTCATTATCTTATGCTATTGCCTTCAATGAAAGTGCATTATGGGTTGTTAGATTATATGCTAACGTTGAAATGACCATGAATTCTGTGGAAAGATTAAAGGAATATTTGGATATTGAAGAAGAACCTGCTGAATATTTACCAGAGAGTGAACCTCCAGCAAATTGGCCAGATCAAGGTAGATTAGAAGTTAGTGATTTATCATTACGTTATGCTCCAACTTTACCAAGAGTTATCAAGAATGTTACATTTTCAGTGGAACCAAATAATAAGATTGGTATTGTTGGTAGAACAGGTGCTGGTAAATCTACAATTATCACTGCATTATTTAGATTTTTGGATCCAGAAACTGGTTATATCAAAATTGATGGTGTTGATATCACATCAATTGGTTTGAAAACTTTGAGACAAGCTATTACTATCATTCCACAAGATCCAACATTATTCACAGGTACAATCAGATCTAATTTAGATCCTTTCAACAGTTATAATGATGAAAACATCTATGAAGCTTTAAGAAGGGTCAATTTGATTACAAGTAATGAAGTTTTGAACACTTCAAATGCCACAACATCAGATGAAAATGTTAACAAATTCTTGAATTTGGAAAATGAAATTACAGAAGGTGGTGGTAATTTATCTCAAGGTCAACGTCAATTAATGTGTCTTGCTAGATCTTTGCTAAGATCACCAAAGATCATGTTATTAGATGAAGCTACTGCATCAATTGATTATGAATCTGATTCAAGAATTCAACAAACCATTAGACAAGAATTTTCAGAAAGTACAATTTTGACTATTGCTCATAGATTAAGATCTATTATTGATTATGATAAGATTTTAGTTATGGATGCCGGTGAAGTTATTGAATTTGATCATCCATACAATTTGATTAAGAATGCTTCATCAACATTCTTCAGTATGTGTCAAGATAGTGGTGAATTGGAAGTTTTAGTTCAATTGGCAAAGGAAGCCTACACTAAAAAGGTCAACAAATAGGTAGGTCTGGGTTATTAAAAAGATAAAAGATAAAAAAAGGAATTTTATACAAAACAGTATCAAAAACAAAAAAAAAATACGTTGGTTTTACATTATATTTTTAGAAAGTATTCGGATAGTAATATAATTATTGTTTTTTGATTAAATATTATATTTTAGAAGTTTGTGAAGTTACTATGTAGGCCTGGGTATCTCAAAGTATCAACATCTTGTATTAACTCTTTATAAATAGTATATTAAATAATCGTAAAACATGGAGGAAAGGTAAAATCATAAATCATATTAGTATAAACAGCTTCAATTTGTAGTTGCATTTTTGATCATATCATCAATAGCATTGATCGTATTCAAATCAAATTCAGCGAAATTATAATCATTAAATTCAAAGTCCAATTGATTTTTATCAATCCAATTACAACCAGTATCAGATTGTGGAGACATTGGCTCTTCGGAATTTGGCCAAGGTAAATCTGACTGCTGAACAGTATTCAGATTTAATGATGAATAGGTTGGATCATTTGGGAAGCCTCTATTGAAATCCGTGCCAGGTGTTGATGAACCATTAAGTGGTGTTGAGACATGATTGACTGGTGTGGATTCGCTGTTATTTGAAATTGACAAATTATCAATATTTGTTGAATTTATGCTTCTTGACGCATCAAATTCATTCTCATCCTCTTTTTGAGCTCTAACATTTGCATAATTAGCATCATTATGGAAATGAGAATGTAGTTTATCAGCTAAATCAGGCAATAATTTGGTTATACTTTCCAATAAATAGTTTGCAATCTTTGAACTTAAATACCAATGTGATGAAATTTGATAGATACCAGATAATTCCAATTTCAAATACTCTTCATAAATATTCAATTCATTCGAGTTAAAAGATCCTAAATTTGGATCTTTACTTTGAATCACCTGTGAATACCAAAGGTATGACGATAAATGAACTAAACCAGCAAAAGCCAAAGAACATGCACTTAATGGAGTTCTTTTCAAAATATCTAGAGGATTTGTATCAATCAATGTCTTTGATATAGAGTTTGCAGCATCAATGGTCTTTCTGGTTTCAATAATCTTTCTGGACTTTATTAAATCTTTATCTGATGGTAGATCTTGACAGTTATCATCTGTTTTGTTCAATTGATCATTCAAGAATTCGACGCATTTTAAATTCTTGGGTATATCAGGTCTCCACAAAAATGATAACGGACGATGAGTGAAAATTTTCGCATAATTTAACATCAAAATACCTTGATGCACACCATTATTTATACGACCCATCCCGTCAACCAAATAAGGTAATTTGTAAAAATCTGGGTTTGAAAATTTTAGTTCCCAATTGGATAAAGATGCACTCAATTTAGTATATTGATGACCAATGGAAACATTTGAAAAAATGATGTTATTTAACCGAACAGAATCATCAACAAGCTTTGAAGTGTGTGCTCTTGTTTCATAATCAAATTCAAATCTATCTGGTTTGTTAGGAAAGTTTACAAAGCATTCCAAAGATGTTAATGAGGAGACTGTTTTACCATCTGAACAACCAATAATGATATCCAAAAAGAAAAGTTCCCAAAAGCATCTTCTTGCACAATCTTTGAGTGTTTCTTCTTCTAAGTTCCTTACCCTTTTTGTGTTATAAAAGTTAACATTAAGCTCATCCACTGACCCTGTTGGTGTTAATCCATTCACAGCTGATGAAGAAGCTCCTTTCTTATTTAATGAGTTACCATTAATGTCTATATCACCTTTAAATCTTTCAATATCCAAATTATTTATATCCAAATGGATAGCCAACTCCATACATTTTTTCCTTATTGATGTGCTTAGATCATGGAGAGCAGATATATGACAAACAAGCGACAGTAGTATCAATGTTTGTAAAGTGATCAAATCCCTCGGTTTTTTTTCAATCAATCCATTAATTTCAATGACAATATCAAAAACTTGGTTTATATTTTTGGAGTATTTAGAACTTGTGTAACCATCACCAATTAGCTTCATAACTGCTAATAGTTCTCTAGGCTCATCTGATAATAGTAAAAAGTTGTCAATTTCATCGATAGATGGTAATAATGGGTGTGCAACGTGGAATCTTGTATAGTAATTGTTGATTATTGATGAATTATCAAAAACTTGATCTAAAAACTTTCTACCAGCAGCTGAAGGTTGTTTGTGAAATGGTTCCATGTTAACATTTTGCTCGCCACGTTCTTGAATCGTATTGGCTTTTTGCTTTTTAGTGCAAGGTAGATTGAGCTGAGAGCCATCTCTCAAAAATGAGCAAGATTCTTTATCATGACCATTTGGACAGTTTGCTTCATTGTGATCAACAGGTCCACCATTGTTTGGTATACATGGCAGTATTGGGACTTCAATATCAACATCTGTTATATCAGTTTTTGACGGTTTAGCCTTTTTAACACCCTTCTTTCTTGATCCTCCTCTATTACTTTTAACATATGAGCATTCTTTATCATGTTGAGTACATCTTCCACATTTTGGGTATTGTCCATCACAGCGTAAGTGCCTATGACGACACTCTAGACAAGCTCTGGAGACATGTTTGGCATTTGGTCTCGCCTTCTGCGAGTCGTTTAAGGATTCTGGTAGTCTTTGCTCTTCACTCATCTTTGAATATAAATTATTGACACTATCTTATCACGGCGGCTAATTAATGAGAGCTCTAGTGGTTGGTTTCAAATTTGATAGAAGTGACCCAGAAGAGTATAGAAGTGGTTTGTAGAGAGCTTAAAATCTTTTTTACCAACAGTTCTTGTAGTTATCTGATGATTTGTTTTCTCAAACCTATCCTTTGAGTGGAATAGGTTATTGTTGACTTGAGATAAATTCTGTAAAATCTCTAGCAAATGGTAATCCAGCAAGTTCTAGTACAGGAACGGGTATGAAATAGATGATTCACTGATTTCTCCCGAATTGGTTTGATCTGTTTGTTCGTTTCTAAAGGCATTTTTCAAGACGTTATGGACTTCGAAGTATTTATTTTTTTTTAAAGGCCTAAAAATAAGCAGCCAAAATTACACTTTTATATAGGCAAACTTCTATGAATGATGACTTTTTTAATTATAAACCACATCACTGAATAGCCCTCATTCTATAGACTACATCAATCGCCTTTAAATGGGCATGTTATTAATTATATTATGCTGTTTTTCAAAGCCCGCAGCAGTTTTTAATAGTCACTATGTCATTTTTGTTAAGAGACACATCATAATAAGCAAGTACTGATGAAAAAAAATCAAATCTGAGTAACTTTTAACTTGACATTTGACTCATCAGAGTCATATTCATATCTCAAATATCCCCATGTGAAGTCAACCAATGTGCTAATAATACCCAAGGAGTACACCAATGTGATGGCATAAAAGAAATTGGAGTTACCAGATCCTAAATCAATCCAAAGATGGTAAAAAATTGGTGACAATATGATTGAATGTAATAATAACAAAATGGAAATGACTGGATATCTCAAGAATGGGAAAACAGGTTTTAATAAAAACAACAATGAGATGTAAAGTGATAAATCACCTAATGATGGATAACTTTTAGAGAAGATCAACCAACCCCAACTTAAAATAAATGCAAAAATACCATTCAATCTGATTGTTAATGGTAAAACAAATGAAATATTGTATAAATTGAACACTGAGTTATAGAAAGGAATGAAAAATTCAAACATTTCAGTGAAATAATACCACCATAAACCTAGATTTGGGGCAATTTTAGTAAATTTTAACACAGTTCCATAAGTTGATTCAATAAATTTCCAATCTTGACCCAAGATGTAGAAACTTGATCCAATCAATAAACCTAACGATATCACTGTTGAAACCAAAAACAGCCATACTTTTTGATTTTGACCATTGTTGTTTTGATGAATTAATTTGATCAATGGAATCACTAAAAAGATTGGATGATATGATAAATATGAAGCAATACTAATACCAACACCTGTTAAAAATACATCATTATTTAAAGCAGAGTTTAATGTCCACACAATGAAGAAATTTTGAAACAAAACAGTAGATTTACTCAATGTACTTAGAATAGCTAGTGGATTTAATGCATAAATCAAACCAACAATCCAAGGTTTGAAAAAAATAGTTTCATTCTTTGATGATATGTTTGCACTTATACGGATCAAATAATAAACAATATAACTATCAACAATTGAATACAATAATTGATCAAAATCTTGAAAATATTGATACAATATGATCAACAAAGGTTGATGATGTACCACACCTCCATCGTACGGGTTTATATTATTTGAATAAAGGAAAAGACCCTCTTTTAATGATTTGTAAGATGTAATCAAAGTTGAGAATTCAATTGATTCTTCTAACGAATTAGCTATACTTGGTGCTATTATGAATATACCAAACCTTATTACAAATGCAAGTATGATGACTCTCTTATCTAGTGATAACATCTTGGATGCTGGATATGGGTGAGCTGGCTCTTCATTCGATGAAGTGTTGATGTTTTCATGAATTGACCATTAAAAAAATCTATGCTTCGTGTCATAAAATTACCTAATGGATTAGTAATAGCTACACACAAAATTCACAAATATTATGTAATCATATCCTCTAATATGTAATTTGACCAATTATCATTATAAATAAGATAAAGATTGCTATAACTACTATTGTGGTTTCAGGTCTCTTATTTTTTAGTCGTGAGTTGATTTATCATGGATTTTTATGGTGTTTTGGCTTCTTAATATTTTATTAAAATTTGATGATTAGAAATTTTATCAACCTAATAAATCTTAATTCAAAGAACAAATTGGAGCTTCGACCTGAAATAGTCTGGAAAAAAAAGTTCTGATTTTTACATGAGAACACCGACAGGCCTAAAATAAAACTTAGTTCAATCAAATTTTGATTTTTCCATCAATGATAGAATGTTTATGTTGATTAAAGCTTATATCTGTCATAATTGCACGGGCAAATAAACCCTCATTGAACTAGGGAAGTCATACACATGAACAAAAGAAATAGTTTTCTTTTTAAGTTAAGTAACGAAGCAATTATATCTCTAATCTTTAATCTTTAGTGATATTAAATTATCCTCTCTGCTATCCCTGTATTGTTTATTCAAAACTCACTATTCTGAGGCTCTTAACTATGGTGTGTCCCTGTTATCAAAATTTTACCCAAAGTAGATAGAGTTATCTCGGAAAAAGATCTTCCTCGACGACGTCAATGCTTGGAGTCAAAAGAGTAAAAAAGACCATGTTGCTCTTTGGTTCCGGCAATTGGAGGCCCACTGGCTGGTTGTGTTAGTGAGTGGGATGTAGGCAGAGCCCTAGAGAGAGATAAGGAGCCAGCTGTGTATCATAAGGCTCGTTTACCTCTTTGTTTACACTGTTTGATAATAGGCGAAAGAAATTGATATGATCTGCTAGTGCTGCTTCAGTTATCTACAAAAATGCTAAAAAAAATCTCAACGTTGATCTAACAAGGGAGCAAAAAACATTTATAAACTGGAGAAAAAGTACATTTTCTTTTTAATACCCATGCTCTCGAGTCTTTAATCTAAACTTAAACACACATTTAGACAGCAAAAATGTCAAGTAAAGATCCAGAGAAAACCCCACAATCAATAAATTTACTTGATCAAGATGAAGGTGAACAATCAAGTTTATCAACTGATTCAAATTATTCATACAATTTCTTCAAATCTCAAAAGGGAGATTTATCAAAATTTGACACATCAGATGTAGCACTTCGTGCAAAGATAAATCTAATCAATAATGCCCTTGATGAAATTGGATTCACATGGTATCATTTTAAATTATTTTGTTTGAATGGGATGGGGTATGCAGTTGATTCTCAATTAACTTTAATCCAAGGTTCTGTTCAGACTTATGTCCGTTATCAATATCGTCAGCCTTATCCTTCAGATACTCATGCTCTTTATGCTGGACTTTTAGTTGGTGCTGTATTTTGGGGGTTTGGTGCTGATTTAATCGGACGTAAAATTGCTTTCAATTCTTCATTGTTGATTAGTGCAATCTTTGCAATTTTAACTGGTGTTATGGGGAATTATGGAACTTATTGTTTATTCTTGGGATTATCAGCAGCTGCATCTGGTGGGAATTTAGTCTTGGATACTACAGTGTTTTTGGAGTTTTTACCAAGTAAGGATCAATGGTTAGTTACATTGATGGCTTCATGGTGGTCAATTGGTCAAGTTGTTGCAGTTTTGATCACTTGGGGGTTCTTCAGTCAGGATAAATATGTTTGTAGCGGTTATGATGATTGTCCAGAAGCAAAGAATATGGGTTGGAGATATGTCTGGATTGTTAATGGTGCTATTGTTTTGATTATTGCAATTTTGAGATTAACAGTTATCAAATTGGAAGAAACTCCTAAATTTTTGGTTTGTAATAGAAGGGATGAAGAAGCTGTTGAATGTTTACAAAGAATTGCAACAAAGTATAATAAACCATGTTCTTTAACTATAGAGGATTTGAAAGCTTGTGGTGAGATTACATCAAATGAAAACTTTTTAGAGAACTCTTCATTGAAATCAACTTATAGATTAACTGTTAAACACTTAAAGAGTTTATTCGCAAACAGAATCATGACCATATCTTCAACTTTGATAGCTGTCTCATGGGCCTTGTTGGGTATTGCATATCCTTTATACACAAATTTCTTGCCAATTTATTTGGCTACTAGAGGTGCTGAAACATCTGCATCAACAGTTGGTGGTGTTTATCGTGATTCTGTGATTTCCAATGTTGCATCAACAGCTGGTGGTTTAATCGGTGGTGGACTTTTATATTTCTTCCCATCTATAGGAAGAAAAGGTGTTATGGTTTTCGGTGGTGTCTCTAGTATGGCTTTATTCTTTGGTTATACAGCTGTTCGTACTAGAGCTCAGAATGTGGGTTTATCATCTGCTGTTTATACCTCCATTTTCATATATTATTCTTGTCTATATGCCTACACCCCAGAAGTCATGCCATCTGCCAGTAGAGGTACTGGTAATGCCCTTTGTGTTGCATTGACGAGGTTCACAGGTTGTTTTGTTCCATTGATTGCATATTTTGCAAATACTAGTTCGGCTTTACCTGTTTGGATCTGTGGTGCTTGTGTTGGTGTTATAGGGATATGTGCCCTATTCTTTCCTTTCGAACCATCGAAGCAAAGAGTTGCATGATGCTAAATAGAGGTTATTTAGATGATCATAGATCGAAGTTTAGATGTTTTATAGAAATGGTTGCTGTAGTAACACAATAGTAAAAGCTTTCTGAATCCCAGTTTGTACCTATTTTGCACCAAATTTTGAGAAGAAAAAGGGTGAAAGTGATATCTATTAGCTTATGAAGCATTCTTTAATACCTCTCTCTATAATACCTCTTACTGATTCAAAAGATCTTCCCAATTAAAAATCTCCATAGTCAAGAATTCACCATCAAAGCCAAAGTTCGCGAAACCTTAAAAAGTTGCACATGGGATCTCGAAAAAAGCACATGTGCATTATTCAACCTTTGATGAGCCAGAGTCTCACCAAAGAGAGAGTATCCACATTATTCAAGACATGGATCTAATGGAGACAATGACTGAGATTCCCATTACTGAACAAATTTTAACAACCCTTTGAAATGTCCTTAATCTTTTGTTTTGTTGGACTTTGGCCATCAAAGTGTTGAATTGTCAAGAAATCCTGTCAACGTGCTGCTTAAAAAAAAACTGGTGAATCATGTTCAAGATGCAGAAACTGATCGACTGACTCGAAGCCCATTTATAAACTCGTCGAATGCCCTTTTACCTCAAGGAAACTTTGTTAGACTCCAAGTCACAAGAGGATTAACCAACAAGAGTTAACCATGTCTACAGACGTTGAGAAATCCCAACAAATCCTACACACCACTAAAGAAGATGAACGTTCTAGTTTAAGTTCATCCACTGACTATTCCTACAAGTTTTTCAAGGCCCCAAAGGGTGAACTATCACAGTTTGATACTTCTGATATTGCACTACGTTCTAAAATCAACTTGATAAATGATGCTCTCGATGAAATTGGGTTCACATGGTATCACTTCAAACTGTTTTGCTTGAATGGGATGGGATATGCTGTTGATTCTCAATTAACATTATTACAAAGTTCTGTGGCTACTTATGTGCGTTATCAATTCCATCAAACATATCCTTCAGATACACATGCTCTTTATGCCGGTTTATTAGCAGGTGCTATCTTTTGGGGGTTTGGTGCAGATTTGATTGGAAGAAAGATCGCATTCAATTCATCTTTATTGATTAGTGCTATATTTGCTATCTTGGCTGGGGTGATGGGGAATTTTGGTACTTATTGTTTATTTGTTGCATTATCTGCTGCTGCATCTGGTGGAAATTTGGTTTTGGACACCACTGTGTTTTTGGAATTCTTACCAAGTAAAAACCAATGGTTGGTTACATTAATGGCTTCTTGGTGGTCTGTTGGTCAAGTTATTGCAGTTTTAACTACTTGGTTGTTTTTCAGTCAAGATAGATTTGTTTGTGAAGGTAAAAATAATTGTCCCGGTTCTGAAAATATGGGTTGGAGATATGTTTGGATCGTTAATGGTGGTATTGTCCTGGTCATTGCAATTTTGAGATTGACTGTCATCAAATTGGAAGAAACTCCTAAATTCTTGGTCTGTAATCAAAGAGATGAAGAAGCTGTTGAATGTTTACAAAGAATCGCTGCCAAATACAATAGACCATGTTCATTAACCTTGGAAGATTTGGAAGCTTGTGGTGAAGTTACTTCAAATGAAAACTTCATGAATAAACCTTCAATCAAGACAACCTACAAATTAATTATCAAACATTTGAAAAGTTTATTTGCAAACAGAATTATGGCAACTTCCTCCACTTTAATTGCAATTTCTTGGGCATTGTTAGGTATATCATATCCTTTATATACCAACTTTTTACCAACTTATCTAGCAACAAGAGGTGCAAATACATCAGCTTCAACTGTCGGTGGTGTTTATCGTGATTCTTTAATTTCAAACTCAGCATCAACAGCCGGTGGATTAATAGGTGGTGCAATTCTTTATTTTTGCCCATCTATTGGAAGAAGAGGTGTCATGGTGATTGGTGGATTATCTAGTATGGCTCTATTTTTCGGTTATACAGCTGTTCGTACTAGGGCTGAAAACGTTGGTTTATCATCTGCAGTTTTCGTTGCAATCTGTATCTATTATTCTTGTCTATACGCATACACTCCAGAAGTTATGCCATCAGCTAGCAGAGCCACTGGGAATGCTCTTTGTGTTGCATTGACAAGGCTTACTGGTTGTTTTGTTCCATTGATTGCATATTTTGCCAATACTAGTTCGGCTGTTCCAGTTTGGATCTGTGGTGCCTGTGTTGGGGTTATCGCTGTGTGTGCCTTATTTTTCCCATTTGAGCCATCAAAACAAAGAGTTGCTTAGATTCATATGCATAAAATGATTTAATAATATACGTTAGACTAGTTTTCTTTAAAAAATGGATAAAAATGTAGTAAAATTACTGAAAAATCTCTGATTAGTATTAAAGTTTATGGTTTGATGCCCTGGGTGTTGAAGATGTGCGCCTACCATTTCAATTTCAAAATACACGAGTTTCTTGACTTGAAAGCAACTTACAATATTTTGTACTGAGGACTCTAAAGTGAATGGATGATACCAAAAGAATGACTGCCTATCTCATGAATAAGTTTACCGTGTCCGTATAATTGGGGGAGTTTCATTTAGTTCAAAAAAACGTCATACCCAAGAGCCTCTTGCTGCACAAAGTGACACATTTTAATGAACCCCAGCTTTTTGCCTTGATCATCGTTTTCAAGATTAACGTTTGATAACATTTTAGTTTATATCTTCTCTTGAAATTTCATAACACTTTAGAAAATAAACAAATCTAATAGGTTAATGATCTCTCTTTGAAATTCTTAACATGAATGAGCAAGCTTGGAATACAGTCTTTAGTTGCGACTTGATATCTCATCTAATTTTTTCCAGATATAAGCATACATGTTCCCATTTGGAAACTAAAAGATCACAATACACTCAATGAAATAGGTACAACCATGAGTTCCGCAAAAGCTGAAAAGACTTCAAAATCTCTATCAGATGAAGAAAGCTTAACATCTGGTAGATTCTCAAGCTTCTTTATAAAGAAAGGTGATTTATCAAATTTTGATACAGCAGATGATGCATTCCGTTCCAAGATCAATCTTATAAACGATGCCCTTGATGAAATCGGATTCACTTGGTATCATTTCAAATTATTTTGCTTAAACGGAATGGGTTATGCTGTTGATTCTGATTTAACTTTTTTACAAAGCTCAGTTGCACAATATGTTCGTTATCAATATAGACAAGGGTTCCCTGCTGATTCGAATGCTTTCTTTGCAGGTTTATTCTTTGGTGCTTTATTTTGGGGATTTGGAGCAGATCTAATTGGAAGAAAAGTTGCATTCAATTCATCGTTATTCATGAGTTCAATATTTGCTATATTAACAGGTTGTATGGGGAATTTTGGTACTTATTGTTTATTTGTTGCATTGACCGCTGCTGGTGCTGGTGGTAATCTAGTTATGGATACAACTATATTTCTAGAGTTTTTACCTCATAAGAATCAATGGCTTGTTACTTTAATGGCTGCCTGGTGGTCTATTGGTCAAACAGTCGCTGTTTTAACTGCGTGGTTATTCTTTAGCCAAGATAAGTTTATCTGTCACAGCGAGGATGATTGTTCTGATGCTAGTAATAGAGGGTGGAGATATGTTTGGTTTGTTAACGGTGGATTGGTTCTAATTATTGCAATACTGAGATTAACAATTATTGAGCTTCAAGAGACTCCAAAATTCCTGGTGGCTAATAATCGTGATAGGGAAGCTATCGAGACACTACAAACAATTGCAAATAAATACAATAGGACTTGTTCATTAACATTAAAAGAGTTGGAAGCATTTGGACCAATAACTTCAAATGAAGATTATTTACAAGAGAGTTCATTTAAAACTACCTTTAGACTCATTTGGAAACATATAAAGACTTTGTTCAGTAATAGAGTTCTTGCATTGTCTTCAACATTGATCTTTTTATCTTGGACTTTGCTGGGAATTGCGTATCCATTATACACAAATTTTTTACCAATTTATTTAGCTACAAGAGGTCCCAATATTTCACCTCAGACAGTTAGTGGTGTTTATAGAGATGCTGTGATTTCTAATGCTTCGTCAATGGGTGGAGGATTGATTGGTGGGTTTTTGTTGTACTATTGTCCAGTATTGGGTAGAAGAGGCGTGATGGTGATAGGTGGCCTTTCAAGTATGGCTTTGTTCTTTGGATACACTCAAATAAAGACAAGGCAGCAAAATGTTGGGTTATCAAGTGCAGTTTATGTGGCTATTTACATTTATTTTTCATGCCTTTATGCTTATACACCAGAAATTATGCCATCAAATGCTAGAGCGACTGGTAATGCTCTAGCAATCTCTTGTATGAGAGGTATGTCCTGCATTGTACCTGTTATTGCTTATTTCGCTGATACTGGTACTTCAGTTCCTATTTGGATTTCTGGTGCCTGTATTGGAATCATTGGTATTTGTTCAATATTCTTACCTTTTGAACCATCGAAGCAACGGATTGGTTAGTCAACGGAATTGACAATAGCATTAGTTAAAGCATCTGTAACTGGAGATTTCTTGTTTTCACTTTGTTCAGAAGGTGTAGTTGTAGCCGTAGAAGTTTCATCATTTGAAACAATACCAGACTCTTGTTCTTGTAATTTCTTCTTCTCTTCTTCTAATTTCCTGTATTTTCTTCTAGATTTCTTCTTTTTACTTGCCCTTTTGTTATGTTTCCATTCTTGAACGATTGTTTGTCGACTGTTTTCTGGATCTAAAGCATGTTGAACGTTTGCAGCTAATATCTCTCTAGCTCTTTTTCTATTTTGATCTTGACTTCTAGTTTCTTGACATGTAACCACAATACCCGTTGGAATATGCTTTAATTGGACTTTACTATTGGTTTTGTTGATCTAAAACTCTTGTTAGTAAGACTGTGTAGCCAAAAAGTAAGTCATACACTACCCACTTTCTGACCACCTGGCCCTCTACCACCTTTCAAGAACTTTTCCTCTATTTCATCTTCAACAATCTTTGGTCTCGGTGGTAGTTTGTTGTTCTTGATAGCCAGACTTGGAAACAGGCTAAAACCACGGTTCAAAAGAGGACGGGACGCTAACAGCCTACTAGCAGACTGCTTAACACTAGGGAATAGCATCATTTAACAACTTTATCGAATGAACTTGTACTTCTCTTTGGTAGGAAAGTTGGTTGAAAAAAAGATTTGTTACGCCCAGCAGATTTTTTTTGTTTTTTCTTTGGCTAGAAAAACTTCAACTTGATTCATTAAAGAACACTTTACAAACAGTTCATCAAAGGAGCTACTTCTGGGATTCATTGGGAAAATGGCCACTAAAGAAGGCGAATCAGTATGTTGAATTGTTTTATTAGATAATGAGCGTTTCACTAACAGCAATCAAAAGGCCAATGGCGCCGAATCTTTTAGATTTATGAATCTAGGTGGTGGTAATGAGGTTGGAAGATCGTGTCATATTATCCAATATAAGGGGAAGACCATCATGTTAGATGCTGGTGTGCATCCTGCTCACTCAGGTATTGCTGCTCTTCCTTTCTATGATGAATTTGATCTAAGCACAGTTGACATTTTGTTGATTTCTCATTTCCATTTGGATCATGCTGCCTCGTTACCATATGTTATGCAACATACAAACTTCAAAGGAAGAGTCTTCATGACACATCCTACGAAAGCTATTTATCGTTGGTTGTTGAGTGATTTCGTCAAGGTCACATCCATCGGAGCTTCAGCTTCAAGTGCATTATATACAGATGATGATTTATCGGAATCTTTTGATAAAATCGAAACAGTTGATTATCATTCTACAATAGAAGTTGATGGTATACGGTTTACTGCTTATCATGCTGGTCATGTTTTAGGTGCTGCAATGTTCCTGGTTGAAATTGGTGGGTTGAAATTCTTATTCACTGGTGATTACTCAAGGGAAGAAAATCGTCATTTAAACCCTGCAGAAGTTCCTCCAACAAAACCAGATGTCCTTATTACAGAATCAACTTTTGGTACAGCTACTCATGAACCACGTCTAGAGAAGGAAGTCAGATTGACAAATTTAATCCATTCAACTTTGATTAAAGGTGGTAGAGTGTTATTACCGGTGTTCGCCTTGGGTACTGCTCAAGAATTGTTGTTAATTTTAGATGAATACTGGTCTCAGCACCAAGACTTAGATGGTGTTAACGTTTATTATGCATCCTCTTTGGCAAAGAAATGTTTGGCAGTTTTCCAAACGTATATTAATATGATGAATGATAATATAAGAAAACAGTTTAGAGATCAAAACTCGAACCCCTTCCAGTTCAAACACATCAAGAACATCAAAAATTTGGATAAATTCGATGATTTTGGTCCTTGTGTTGTCGTGGCAAGTCCTGGTATGTTACAAAATGGTGTTTCAAGAGAGCTTTTAGAAAGATGGGCTCCAGATTCAAGAAATTCAGTCATCATGACTGGTTATTCCGTTGAGGGTACATTAGCAAAGAACTTGTTGACAGAGCCTGATCAAATTCCTTCATTCCAAAACCCTGATAATAGTATACCAAGAAGAATAAACATTGAGGAAATTTCATTTGCTGCTCATGTTGATTATGAACAAAACTCCAAATTTATTGAATTGGTTGATCCAAAAACTATTATTCTTGTTCATGGTGAATCTAATCCAATGGGTAGATTAAAATCTGCACTTTTATCAAAATACTCTAAATTTAAAGGAACTGATCAAGAAGTTAAAGTTTACAACCCTAGAAACTGTGATGAGTTAGACTTGAAATTTAAAGGGTTGAAAATTGCAAAGGCATTAGGTGCCATCGTTGAAGAAAAACAAACAAATGAAACATTAAGCGGTGTTTTGGTCTCCAAAGATTTTGATTTGAATCTAATGAAGGTCGATGATTTAAGAGAATATGCTGGTTTGACTTCCACAATCGTTAAAGAACGTCAAACAATCAGGGTTGATGCTGGGAGAGATTTGATTCAATGGCATTTATCACAAATGTTTGGTTATGTCGAAATTTTGATTGATGATAAGGATGAATTTGAATTGAAACTAATGGATGAAATATCAGTGAACCTGATAAACGGTATTTGTACAATTGAATGGACAAGTGGTATAATTAATGATACAATTGCAGATTCAGTCGTTGCAATTTTACTTTCTGTTGATTCATCACCAGCTTCCGTCAAATTATCATCAAAATCGTGTGACCATGATCACTCAAAAGATCACTCACACTTGGAAGATTCACTAGCTGATACTAGGGTTTCCACTAGAATAAAGAGAATCACAGCAATGTTGGAAGCTCAATTTGGTGAAGCATTTACAAATAATGAAGATGGAAAAACCGCTGTTATTAAAATTGGCAAAAATGAAGCTAAAATCGACTATTACGATTTGACCGTTGAGTGTTCATCAAATGTTTTGAAAGGTAGAGTTGAAAATGTGCTGAATAGAGCTACAGATTTGGTTGCACCATTGGCTCAAAGCCGTAAAATACAGGCTTAAAATAAAAGTTGAAACGTTATTAATGAATATGTGTACTATAGACATTCACCCTAATTGGGGTGATATTTTAATGAATAGATCTTTTTATAGCTTTTCTATTTTAGTAAGTACTTATATAAATTAGACGTTGGCAACCTGGAATACTTTCACTTTCTACATTTACTTCAACATTATTAGATATATATTTGAAACCATTAACTAAAAAACCAAAAAAACTCCGAACTCATGTAGATACCTGAAACTCAAACACCAGACCTTAGAATTCTTTGTCTTTGGTTTCTAAATGTGATTGATTCATGTCTTTCCAAAACGTATAAAGCTTTATCAAGAGCCTGTTGGGAATAACTTTTACCAGCAACGAATTCACTTCTCAAGGTTTGATAACTTGTAGACCAACCAATTGGTAATCTTCTTCTAATTTCATTTTGAATCTTGTCAATTTCTAATTTCAATTTTGGTGCAGTAGTAATGTTACCTTGGTTTGCAGCATCCATAGTAGAAGCTTGAAACAATCTAATAGCCTCATCAACATGTTCTTCAGTAGCAACAGGTGATAAACGTAGTTTAGCTAATGATTCTGTTATACGAATAATAGCTTCTAATTGACGAATTGTGATCGGAATTGAAGATCTCTGATCACTTAAATTTTCAGCATCATTGATTGTTTTTCTAATTTCGACAAAATGTGAACTTAGTTTTTCAGCAGCTTGTTCAGATAATCTTGGAGCACATTTTGAACGACAATATGAAATATATCTTTTCATCTTATCGATTGGAATTTCACCAGCGATTTCTTGTTGGTTATTTCTACCTGTATGAATGTTCAAAACATGGTTAGCAATTGAGATATCTCTACCTTCATTATGGTCATCTTTAACAACGAAAATCATATCAAATCTTGATAAAATGGTTGTTTGGAAATCAATATTTTCACCAGGCGTTTTCATATCATCGTAACGACCAAAGATTGGATTTGCAGCAGCTAACACACTAGTTCTTGAATTCAAAACAGTTGTAATACCAGCTTTGGCAATAGAAATTGTTTGTTGTTCCATAGCTTCATGAATGGCAACTCTATCTTCATCTCTCATCTTATCGAATTCATCAATACAGACAACACCACCATCTGCTAAAACCATAGCACCACCTTCCAAGTAAAATTCTCTTGTAGTACTATCTCTTTGAACAGAAGCTGTTAAACCGGCAGCAGAAGAACCTTTACCGGAAGTATAAATGGAGATTGGACTAACCTTATCAACGAATTTTAACAATTGAGATTTAGCAGTACCTGGATCACCTAATAATAAGACATTAATATCACCTCTTAATCTCATACCATCTGGTAACAATTTTTTAGATCCACCCATCAATAAACATGCAATGGCCTTTTTAATATCCAAATTACCATAAATTGAAGGAGCAATAGAATTAGCAAAAGATTCATATAAATCTGGATTTCTTGATAATTCCAGAAATTCTTCCTCTTCTTCCTCTGTATATATGGCATTACCAGCTGCATTATGATCAACATCTGTTTGAATACCTAGAACTCTAATATATGGGTTTCTTATAGCAACCGAAGAGGCATTCTTCACTTTTGATTGATAAATAGAGTAAATACCATTGATTGTACAACGAGTACCTGGAATAATCTTATTAGTTAAATAACGGTCAACTGATAATAAAACGTGTCTAGGCATTTCACCAACTGGCACCATTTCTGGTAATTCTTGTAGTTTTAGAATCTGTTGATCAATAAATTGTGATTTATCATGTACAACAAGATATGGTTCAGGAGGACATTGAGATTTTTCACCATCAGCTGGGACAGCTGCACAGGTTTTAGGTAATTGTAACCCACCAAAACTTGAATGTATAGATATTCTTTGAGTGTGTCTACAAGAACGACACATTATTTGAACTGAAGTGGCTTTTGAAGTTAAGACGGAAGCACTAATGATGATACCACTGACACGAATAATCTTGGATATATGATCAGCATCCAACTCTCTGATTGACAAAGTTGAGGCATTAGATCTTAGAATAAGTTGACAAACTGGGAAACTTAGTGGGACTTCTGAATCTTGCAAGAAGACAATTCTTTTAGCGACGTCAGTGATGGCTCTTTCAAAGAGAGGAATCATTTCAGATGGATCATCAGTTAAACTCTTGTTCAAATTTTCATTATAACCAATAAGATGTTCACTTTCAACTGTCAATGAATATTCTTTCACTAACAAGTTTTCTCTCAGTTGATCACGATATACGAAATCATTATTAACTCTGTATTCCAACACAAAGTTCTTAAAAGCTGTGATAATTTCTTGATTTGAATCTTGTTCAGCTTCTTCACCAGGAAGAACTGGAGCACCGTAAACAGCTGGGGCATCAAATGACATCTTGTTTGGATAGTGTGTTGTTTTATGGGTTAGAAAAAGTCAATGTTATTGAAACTTTTGTATTTTATTTCAAATCCAAAACAAAACTCAGCATGTAATTACTTTTCTGCTTTAGGAAGTTTGAGATTCTCGAGGCAAAAAAAGTTAAAAACTGACGCGACTGAAACAATTTTTTTTCGCGTTTTTCGAGAAAGAAAAGAAAATATCCCAAAACGGAAAATATCCTTTTTAAGACATTTGGTCGGAATATGGCTAAATTGAGTAAATTACGGGGATTTCAAATGAAAACAACTTTTCAGTTCAAATACAAGTTGACGAAGATAATGGCAAAAGAAGCCTAAGTTATCCATAGGCAGTGCAATTCAAAATAGGTATAACGGAATAATATAATCATGGCGTATGTATGGGAAGAAGATGTGATCCTTTACTCTTTCTAAAGTGTTTACTAACCTTATAAATTTAGTGAATTAGTGGATCGTCCAAAATCAGAATTAACTGATATTGAATTACAAAAATTAGAAGAATATGAATTCACACATGGTCCAATGTCAATACTGCAAGACGCTGTACAAAATGGTACCCAGGTGCTTATATCTTGCAGAAACAACCATAAACTATTGGCCAAAATAAGAGCTTTTGATAGACACTCCAATCTAGTGTTGGAAAATGTAAAAGAAGTGAGTATATGAAACGTATTTCAGCCTTTTGATTATATACTAACAATTGTATTTTAGTTATGGACAGAAACACCTAGAAACTCCAAGGGGAAAAAGGGGAAACCAGTTCCAAAGGAAAGATTTGTCAGTAAGATGTTTTTAAGAGGTGATTCAGTAATTGTTGTATTAAAAGCTGCATAAATACATTAAGAAATAAAGAAGGAGATTGCATAACTGTATATTAGTTCAAAGTGTTTGTGAATTTCAGAAACGGGAGAGATTTTATGAATTTATTTTTGTTATTTTAATGAGAAAGTTTAATTAAAAAAACAATTGTAGGCATTTACATACGCAAATTATCATATCCTTGAAACTAAACCATTAAACTATCTATTTACACAATGCAATGACCAAAATTTCGCTTTATACATAAATAATTAAGAACCTCATCATAATTCAGCGTCAACAAAGATTTTTTTAATAGCCTTTTCTGATGTTCCTATTTCCAATCTATATTCACCAGTCTTTGTGATTTCACTTATGACATCTCTTTTGATTTTTAAAGTAATATCACTTTCTGGGACACTTATGTTTACCATTTTCTTTATTTGTGCAGCGATTGCACTTTTGTCAATTGGAGTCTTCAAGCTACCATCTTCTTCTTGAACTTTAAATTTCAAATCACCTAAATTGACAGATAAATTGAATAATGAGTAGCTAGCCTTTGATGGTTGGATTCTACTGGAAGTTTTTGAATTATCTTTTGGAATGTTTAGTAATAATCCTTCGATATCAATAGAGATTTTCTTTGGAGCTGGAGCATTTGGAGTTCCCACTTTACTTGGTTTAGGAGCGACACGGATTACCTTCTTTGGTTCTTTATAGATTGGTATTCTTGGACCTTGACCAGGAACTATATAGCAAGCACCATTATGAGGATGTAGTTTATTTCTCATTAAAGAGTGTGAAACTTTTAGAATTTGACCTTTTTTACCAACACTTGGAAAATCTTTGAGTAGTTGAACTTCGGCCTTATTGAATCTTTTGGAAGCAACAGAGTACCTGACAAGGGGTACTCTTGCAAAAGGAATTTGCTTAAATAAATTGGAGCTCATAATGGAGGCTTGATCTATGAGAAAGAAGTGAGGGTTTCCTGGAGCTCTAACTAACCAAACGAACGTATTGATATTTGATTTTTCACTTTATTCTCGATCTCGATATTTTTTTTCGAGGAGGTCGCGGTCCAAAATTTACGTTGATTTAGTACTGAGATTTACGCATGGCTCCAGCCTACAAAGGTGAATGATAGTAGAATACACTTGTTTACATTAAATATTACTCCAACGAAAAGTAATCAATATCTTCCTCCACTTCACCATAATATTCATTGGTCAACTTCTTTGCAATCTTCCATAAATGGACAATATTATCATCTGAACTGGTGGCCAAAGTCCATGGAATGTTTGGATTAAAAGAAAGATCTGTGATACCAGATGTATGACCAGCATGCATCATGAATAATTCAGGAGCACCGTCGTCTTCATCTTCTTGGATTTGTTCTTCACCAATCTTTTTAATATCCCATAATATCACTCTTCTGTCTTGTGAACCAGAAGCAAGGATTCCATCGTTATGAGGGTCCCATTCCAATGAGGTGATTGATTCTGAGTGACCCATGATTGTGTGTAATTTTTGTTGAGGGTTTCTAATATCGAATAATTCAATTGTAGAATCATCCAAGCCAACAGCAAACAGGTTGGATGAGTGGTTTGAGAATGCTATTGTATTGACAGCAGCATGACGTTGAATTATATTGGTTGGATTTGGTAATGATCTTGTATCATATAGATGAATTGTTTTATCTTCACTTACAGAACCGAATAGATTACCATCTCTATTGTGCCATTGAACATCATTAACAATATCTGTATGAGATCTTAAAACATGTTGTGGGGTATCTGGCTTACTTATATCCCAAAGTGCAACGGTCTTATCATCTGATGAAGTTAACAAATGTCCTTTGACGAAACGATTCCATGAAATACCATAACCATTTTCAGTATGATGATTCAAAACCAATGGTGCTTCTTTAGTCTCTAAGCCAGTGTTATAAACGTAGACTTTACCTGAGCCGCTAATTGTACTGATAAAGTTTGGATCTTGTGGCATATAACGAGCACGATTCACTTCACTTTCATGTTTATATTTCTTTGTGACTTTTAATCTAGCATTAACACCTTGTTTTTGTTCAACAGGATTAACGTCAGCAGTGTCTTCATCTTCATTGTCTTTCTCAGATTTAATCTCGAGCAAACTTTTAGGTAATTGTGTTGACGCTATTTTCAAATAATCAGTGTCTTCACCAGAAGTATGAGTACCCAAAATTAAACGTTGATTGATCCCTGTGCTTGTGATTTCCTGATCCGGAAGCCATTGGACGGTCAAACTAGGCCATGTAAGAGCAGTTTCTGATACAAACTCATACATCACTGGACAATTCTTTCTCCATAACTGGTATTCTTCTTGAATAGACAATTCCTTTTGTGGGTTTTCATCATCAGCATCTTCTTCTTCACCGTTCAAGTCATTGAGTTTTTCTTCAACGGCTTTTTGGACAGCCTCTTCAAAAGTCACTTTACTCATGCTTGAACAAGTTTTATCACTTATTGATTGTAAAGTCACGTTGAAAATATAATTCAAACTGTTTATTCAATACGTTTCGCGTTTTTTTTCAACATAAGAAAATTTCGTGTCACGTTGAAAATTGGCAGTTTTTTTTTTCCGTTTCGTGGAAAAAGGTTCAGAATTCAAAAAGACAACAACAAAACTTGATCAAATCATTTGGAAAAGTCATCAAAACACAGTTGTTGAAATCAGTGGAAACATCTAGAAAATGGTCAAGCCAAACATCACCAGCGGCAGAGTGCCTCAACAGGCTGCTCCTCAGCAGATTGCTCAACAGGGGATCACCACAATGCAGACACGTCCAACAGATATAAACATCCCTCATACCATTGATAAAATAGTGCCAGAAGTTGAACTGTACAGAAGGTTACAAGAGGCTGAAAAACGTGTTGACATATTCACCACAAGAAAGATTAATGACTTGCAAGAAAATATCACTAGAATCCCAAGAAAAAAGGAATTGTTGAGAATTTTCATCTTTAACACAACTGAAAATCAACCATGGCAATTACAACCAGGACAACAACCCACTGAAGAACCAAACTGGACTTTAAGAATAGAAGGAAGATTAGTGAATAATGAAAAAGCTGAAGATCCAACGAGAAGAAAATTTAGCTCTTTTCTAAGTGGTATATCGATTGATCTATTGAATCAAAATAACAATCAACAACAACAACAAACACATGACCCAAACCAACCTCAACAACCTTCAAAAGAGAATATCATCGAGTGGCACGAGCAGAATGAACAAAACGCTCCTCGTGTTGATTTCGATGGGTTAGACGTGAAAAGATCTGGTGGTGAAAACATCAAAACTAAAATTACAATCCAACCTAAAGAGTTTCCAATCAAATTTAGAGTTTCCAACGAACTTTCTTCATTATTAGGGGTAACTGAATTGACCCAACATGATGCAGTTTACTCCATATGGCAATATATTCAATTTAATAACTTACAAGCACCAGAAGATAAAAGAATTATCAATTGTGATGAAAACTTATCTAAATTATTTGGTGTTCCAAGATTCAATTTTAGAGATTTGATAGATCTTCTATCCAAACATTTGAGTGCGAACAAACCTATTGAATTGGAATATGAAATCAGAGTTGATAAGGCTTCAACTTTAGGTGATACCGTCATTGATGTTGAAGTTCCAGTTGATGATATTTCTGAACAAGAAAATTGGAGAAATGAGCTGAAAAAGATAATTACAGAATATGATGATTCCATTAAAGAATTAAATTCTAAGATAGTTTTAGGGATTCAGGCCTTGCATAATTCTCATAGAAAGCATCAATTTTATGATCAATTATCAAAGGACCCTATTAACTTCTTCAAAGATTTTACAGAATCACATTCTAGATTACTGAAAATTCTATCTGGTGATGAAGGATATAACGAAGAATCTGTCAGAAGATCTGAGTTTTACACAGATGAAATGTTGTCAGAGAATGTCGATATTTTATTAAAGACCAATCGTATTTAAGAGTGTTTGATAGATGTGTACAAGAATAATATAATCATGTAACTTTATAAACTCATGTACATGTCATTTCCATTCTATATCTATATACAAGGTTAGCTTCTCTCTGCTCTTATATGTGCTGAATTACCAACACCCACCCATAAAAATAAGTCTTTTCTGGACAAGAAACGTTCTTTCAACTCAGGAATCAAAATATTCTCCTCAATAAATGGTCTTTCAATAGGATCCTTGAAATGGTCAAACAAGTCTTTATTATGCAAAAAATCAAAATCAACACGATAACCAGTATGTACAAGTGTCTCACCACTTTCAATTTCAACACGGGCACCAAACCCTTTCCATCTGTCCCCAGATTTCATGTCAACCGTTTTATCATAAATGTATAAGGGATCAGTCAGTGGATGTCTTATTTTAACGACAATGTAACCATCTTTTGCATTTGTTATACTCGTGTTACCAATTTTAATGGCTTTCAAATAGTTCTCATCTCGGACCGTTGAAACAACAATGGCTTTATCGCCCAAGCTTCCAACTGAGCTGCTTAATATGACAACATCACCTTTTTCAAAAACTCTTGGACACACATTCTCTTCGATCTCTTTATTAACAGCAACATAATCCTTTTCAGTGGTGAAAGTTTTACCAAATTTTCTTTTATACTCATTCATATCACGTTTCAGTTGTTCTGGTTTAGCCATAGCAAAATCCACTGGTGATTTCAATTTGGTTAAATCCAATGTTCCTAAATTATTAGACCATATTTTTTGGTATGTACTATTTGCTGAAAATTTTGATCTAAAGGCGTCGGCATATTGTTCTGGGCTTCTCCAACCTTCAGAAATTCTGAGAAGTACATTTTCATTCTTTGTATATAGATGTGCAAATTCAGGTCTCCGTCCAAGTGATCGAGCAACTTTATCTCTGGCAGCTGGGTCATAATCGGGATATGATTCATCATCAGGAACAACTGACTCTTCGAACTTCCCATGTGTACGTCTATTGTTTTTACGGTCCAGGTGCTTGAGAGTAGGATGATTATTGCGACCAAATTCATAATTATCAGCTTGTGAATCTTGCAACAGGCCAGATTTTTGTGGGCCAAAAACATCATCAAGTTCATTATATCTTGATACACTTGAGCTAAACAATCTGAGCCGTATTCTACTTTGGTTTAAATTTTGAACATTTGATATTGCTGAAATTAGCATGGATCTCTGCGTTTGGCACACCATCTCTAATCACCAAAGTCTCCCTGTTGTTCCAAATTTGAAGGTTTTGATAATGCTCTTCATCATGGAAATGATTTTTTTAAAAACTTTCCAAGCAGATTCACGTGACAATAAATGTCTGCCATTCTACCCGGGCACCGATGCTTTTTTTTTCTTTTCTTCAAGACTCATCGTGATCTCGAAAAACGTTGGCATTTGATTTATTTACACCTTTTGACATCAACATTAACATCCAACCATGTCTTCTCAAACCTATCGTTCTACTCGTGCCACTGGAGAACAAGCATTCTCTTTCGAAGAAACTGTCTTGAAAGGGTTAGCCTCAGATGGTGGTCTTTTCGTTCCATCAGCCATTCCACAAGTTGATGCTTCAACTATTGAAAAATGGTCAACATTATCTTTCCAAGAATTAGCTTTCGAAATCATGAGACTATATATCAAAGAATCTGAAATTCCAGATGAAGATTTGAAAAAATTAGTGCACAACTCTTACTCTACATTCAGACATGAAGAAATCACTCCATTAAATCCAATTGATGAAGCTAATGGTTTATATTTATTAGAATTGTTTCACGGTCCAACTTATGCATTCAAAGATGTTGCCTTACAATTTGTTGGTAACTTATTTGAATATTTCTTACAACGTAAAAATGCTGGGAAAACTGGTGCTGACAGAGATGTCTTAACAGTTGTTGGTGCAACTTCAGGTGATACTGGTTCAGCAGCTATTTATGGGTTGAGAGGTAAGAAAGATGTTTCAGTTTTCATCTTGTATCCAACTGGTCGTATTTCCCCAATCCAAGAAGCTCAAATGACATCAGTCCTTGATTCAAACGTTCACACTTTATCAGTCAAAGGTACTTTTGATGATTGTCAAGATATTGTCAAACAAATATTTGGTGATGTTGAATTCAACAAATCTCACCATGTTGGTGCTGTTAACTCTATTAACTGGGCCCGTATTCTTGCTCAACAAACTTATTACTTTTATTCATACTTCCAATTAGCTAAGAAGGTCGGTTCAGATAAAAAAATCCGCTTTGTTGTTCCAAGTGGTAACTTTGGTGATATCTTGGCTGGTTACTATGCCAAAGAAATGGGTCTACCAGCTGATAGATTAATCATTGCTACAAATGAAAATGATATCTTGGATAGATTCCTCAAAAGTTCTAAATATGAAAAAGGTGGTGACGTTAAAGCAACTCTTTCACCAGCTATGGATATTTTAATTTCAAGTAATTTTGAACGTTTACTATGGTACTTGGTTAGAAACAATGTCACCAAATCAGATGAAAAAGCTGGTGAAACCATAAATAACTGGTTTGCTGAATTGAAACAAACTGGTTCATTCACTGTTCCACAAGAAGTTATCGCAGCTGCTAGAAAAGATTTCGACAGTGAAAGAGTTGATAACCAAGAAACTATCAAAGCTATTAAAGATCTTTACACTTCTAACACAACTAAATATGTGTTGGACCCACATTCAGCAGTTGGTGTTACTGC